TCTCTTTCAAGTCATCTACAGAGTATTTTTGGCAACTATGTAGTTAAATGCATATCTCTCTCATCTTCTCTGTGAATTGATTGTTGGGAGGACCCTATAGTGCAAAATTCCCTTCTGGAGTCTTCGCTCATAAACCAGGCACTGAGGTTAAATATCAGATATTTTGTAGCTCCCTTTGGTTTCAGGAAAATAATCTGAAATTCAAGACTGTATTTAGGATTTGTTCATACACAGGTATGTCATTTGGCTAGTTACCTTTTCAAGACTCAAAAAGCCCAAAGAGCTCTTTATTTACAGAAATGCTGTTTCTAAGAGTTTCTGAAACACTCTGGTTTTGTAGGCTACTGGTTTAATTACTAAGCAGACACGTGGATTTTTTATATTAATTTCATGTTTGTTCACATTTAATTTTATCTTCCTGTCTACATCATGTGCTCAGAGATTGGGAAGTAAATCTGCCTTTACATGGCAGTGAGAGAAACTTCGTAAAGCTGTACTAATGAGGAAGAAAATGAGCATTAATTAAACTTGTGGTTACAGGATGGGCCGAGGCTCTGGAGTCCTGAAGCAGCAGTTAGATGGGTTGCTTCATTACAGCCCAGAACAGGGAGCTGTGATGTGAATGGGAATGAGGAGACAATTAAGTCACTCACCAAGTGCAGAGCCAGAGAGACATTTAATTATCCACAGGAGCTAACGCTCTAAAACCTGGGGTTTTCTGTAGATCTAAATATGCCAGGCAGTTTTTCTGACAAATTAGACTTCTAAAGAGTGTCTTTAGAAATGCAAGAAGGGTTGGGAGTGTTGAGGAGAAGGGAGAAGAAACCTGCTTTTCAGCTGAGCTCTGTGGTGTGGTGGCAAAGCACTGGCAGGTCTCCTGGGCTGGAGAGGAGATCTCTGTCGTGGTGGATGGATTGTTGTAATTAACTTAGGCAGAAAGCCCAGGTGGATGCTGGTATTGCCAGTATATGTAGATCCTGTGGTCCCTGAAAAGGTCTTCAGGGCTGCATGGGAGCCCTGTTAGCCCCAAAAGAGATTAGTGGAACTCTAGACCCCAATCCTGTATATTACAATGGACTAATCTGTGGCATATCAATGTAATTTGTGTCATAATTAGACAGGACAGTCACTCTCTGCCTTCCTTGTGAGTTTTTTCCTGTGTGGCTTTCACTTCTAAATAACCGCCGTGGTAACCTTAGCAGAGGTTTTGATTCTCTGAACTGCTGTTTCCTTTTGATTAAGTGTCTTCTGCTCTAGTCTTTAATGCATATTAATGAGTGCCAAGCAGTGCTTGACTTGAGTAATTTGCAGCTGGGATCTAAAAGCCCCTGGAAGAAAGGCCTGGGGATATCCTGCTTTGGGAAATAGTGGAATATTGTAGACTCTTTGCTACAGTTTGGTGCATTCCAAAGGCAAACACTTTTTCCATTAATTTATGTTTTCATTAGTCACAGGACATAGTCTCTCCTGCCATCATTATTTAGCAACATTCCCATATGCAGTTTAGTTTCAGGTTAAAAGTCCCAGAAAAGGAGGGGAAGAGGTAACAGTTAACATTTTTTTCCAGAATTGGAATTCCTTTCCATGAAGATGTACAATCCCATGCCTAATTCTGAATTGCACAGCATGTATGTGGCTGCAGGGTCATAGTGCAGAGTGGGCACTGCTAATCCATAACTCCTGGAGGTACAGCATTCCCTGGATGTGTGGCAAGCAGTGTAGGATAGAAAAACACTGCTGGCAGCAGGTACTTTTAAGCTCTTAAAGTTCATGAAAGCAACTACTCTGATTCCCTTCAGAACTTTTGGGGAAACTGGTAATGGAAAGCCCTAATTCTGCTTTCACATCTTGTGAAGCAAATGTCCAGATGATGATGGTTCGTGAATTTTCTGAAGACCTTCTAATTGAAGGAAAGGAGCAGGTGTGCTCGAACAATACAACATTTCTGTTTTAGTCACCCAGAGGCATTCTCCAGGAAATTGCAGCAACTTTAATGCTCTCTGTTGTCATCATAAACTTGGTGGTTGTCTGACAGTTGTCTTGGCATGACAGGCTGGCACAAGGGTGATGGCATCTGTGGATAAGAACAGGACTGATGGGAGGCGAAGGATGTGAACAAACCCCTGCACAACACCAGTGTTGGGTTGATGACTAAAAGCAATCTCCCTTTCATGGTGGCTATTTGAGGTTGTTTTGAGTAGTATCAGAAAAAAATGCAATAGGCAATTGATCTTGAGTGCTTCATGTTCAAAGCACTTGGCAAAAAAAATAACAAATCAGCCCTTATAATTATCCTGCAAGACTCTTGTTATGCTGCCTCACAGGTGGAGAAATGGAAGTAAAGAGGTTAAATGTCTTGCTCAAAGCAGCAAGGAAATGTGTGGTTGAGACTTTCAGGAGCCCCACATATTTCTTAATGAATCATTTATAACTGTGGTTATATTATTAGGCAGTTGGCTTGACCTGTGGATTGCTGTAGGAACTCTGCCTTGCCATCTAAATGAATTTTCTTCTTAAAATCTTGAAAAAACCATTTTTTCTTTAATTATTTCATGACAATATGTTGGCTAAACCAAAGACTGTGTAGGACATGCAATACATAAAAATATGTAATTCCTGAACAGTTCAAACACACGTTCTTTCCTAATAATTCCAACCAAAAATAATTGATATGTTTCTCAGGTGTCACCTTCATCTTCTCAGGAGGGAGAATTCACTCTGACCAGCTGTTTTCATTTCCAAAAGGCCACCATGCCCTGGAAGCTAAAGTTCACCTATAACAGTTGTTCTTCTGTCAGTTCAACTACTGAGTGTAGAAATTGCTTATCTGTTAATATTCTTAGAAGATCTAAATTCCTCCAAACTTCCATCAGTATTCCCTGCTGCATACAGTGTACAGCAGCATTTTCCCCAGTATCCTGAATTATGGTCTGCATTCTAAACTAAGGTCTGGCATTAGATACTTAGTTAACACTAGGTTTAATGAACCCAGAAATACATAGGAACCTGTGCACAGCCATGCTTTTTTTTTTAACTTACAAAAAACAAAATCACAGTTTTTTTCACAACAGTCAAGCTCTCAGTGTATTTCTCCTGAGCATATGTATGGTGTTTGCATCATACCCTATGCAGCTTAACTCGCAAATGTTTGTTCCTTCTGGATCTTTAGTTGTGCATTTATAAAAAGATTTCAGGATTTCTGGATATAATACTTAATATCCAGAAGAAGTGTGTGTGTGTAATGCAATTGGAATACACATTAAAAGGAGAGTAACATCACCTCTGAATTTTTCATGTATTCCATTTTACAGCAAAAGATCAGCTTTTGTCTCTCTGGGTTCAGTACTTATTTTCTTGGTTGTTTTGGCTTCCTTGAGCTACTGAGCCTGTCTCACCTTTTCTATGTCTGATGTGGAATCTAAATTAGATAAAATGAAACAGGACATGATTTCAAATTCAGTTTTCTCTATACAGGCAGGATGGCATCAGTTTAAATTGCTTCGATATAATTTTGCCTCTTTAATCCTTCCTCTTCAATCTGTTTTTGTATACATTATCTATATGAATTCTGGGACTGGAAATCTTGCCTAATGTAAGTTAAGACATGACAGATGAACCTGACATTTTTCCAAGGAGGGAACTAGTGAACATACTGTATTTATAGCAGTAGGAATGTAGTTTGCTACTTGTAGAAGAAAAATATGTGTTCTATGAGAACTTTAGTGTGGGGTTATGAGAAGAGTGTTTAGATGATACTTGTTTCTAGTGAGGATTCTGGGTTCAAAGGAGCCAAAACTGGTTCTCCTGAAGCTTGAGACAGCCCTTCAGGAAACAGGGAATTTAGGCTCCCAGAAGCTCAGATAGCAAGATGAAGTGTGTCACAGTGTTGAGATGTTCTCCTGTGTCCAGCTTGGAACTCCAACGACTTCAGGATCATCAGTGGGCAGAGAGGGAAAGAGCGTGATGAAGGAGCTCCTGAAGGTTGGATCTGGAGCTTCTCTCAATAATCACCTGAACAATTTCATTCATGTCAATAGCAAGACTTTCTGTCTACAAGCTGAGAGTTCATTAGTTTGAGTTCTCAAACACGGATGTTCAAATATATGCAGAAAAATTGATTCAAGCCAACCATCTCTGCAAGCAGCTCTTGGCTGCTGTGACCTTCTGCAGTAGGGCAGGACTGCAAGAGGAGACAAACCCAAATCATCCAGGTGCCCAAGTTACTTCACCTGCATAAAGATGATGAAAAGTCTTCTTCTTTTTAAAGTTTTCAGTCTTTATGAGTGTTTCTCCTGAACTTAGTGAAAATTACTTGGATGATATTCCTTAGAGGTGCTCTGTAGAAGTGCAAATTTCTCTTTTCATACCAGGCTATCTGGTCCAGTCTGCATAAGATTTATTTTTTAGCAGTGCACTACTGGCACTTTTTAAAAACTGGTTGTGGCTAATTCTTGAAAGATTATTTTGTTGGCTGAACCCTTTGTGTCAAGGGGGGAATAATCACAAAGCTTATCTGCTTGCAAGTAAGATGTAGTATTTTTCCATCCTACTCCTGAATAGAAAGGCTGATCCTACATTTTTTGACTAGAACTGCACATCAGGACCAGCTTAGGGCATGAACTGATCCTTTATTTAGCAGAAATAGTAAACACTGGGGCGGTCTGGTCTTGATACACAGCTAAGGCCAACATAACCTGCATTTTAGCTGTTTTTTAATGGAGAGGGTATTTCCTAGACAAATTCTTAGGCCTATACTATGCTCATGTGGCTCAAGGAGAAGTCCTTTAGGCTCAGGGCTGTACCTTTTGTCCTTTCTTGTCAAGCTGGGGAAGTGATGCTTCGTTTTGCTCTAATAAAGAATTCACCTGGTTTCCTTTCTGCATCCTAATTGCTCTCCAGGGAGCACTAAAGTGTGCTTAAGCATATTGTAACTGTTTACTCACAACGCCTGCTGTATGTGCGGTAATGCCAAGTGTTCCATCTCTGCCCTGTCCCTACAGGCTGGCATGATCCGCACGGACAAGGACGAGTTCTTCATTGAACCTCTGGAGAAGGGGGCCCGGGAGGAGGAGGAGGGAGGAGGCAGAACACACGTGGTCTATCGCAGAGCAGCTGCCAAGAAGCAGCTTCCTATTGAGAATGTGGATACCCTGTATAAAGGTAAGGCAAGCTGATGTATAAAGTGTAGCTGAAGGCGTGTAGCCAGTGTGATCTGCTACCCCTGGCTTTTGTATCCTTGAGAACGAAATGTGTTCTTCTCCCTCCAAGGATGAAAAGGTGTGGAAGGAGTTGAACGCTTTACCTGGGATAATCAAACATTGCAGCAGCCAAAACCATCTCCAGGAGGGTGGAAATGACTTTGCTTTAGAGAGTTTCCTTGGCTCCAGATATAGCCAACATAAAGTTTTGTGTCCCACTGAGTCCCTGGGTGAGAGCAGAAGAGGGGGGTGGTGGATGACACAGCAGTGCAGAGGTGCCTGTGCTGGGGGCAGGTGGCACTGCTGGCTTGGCAGAGGCTGTGTTGGAAGGCTGCAACAAGGACATCAAGGCTAACATGGTACAGGGGCTTCTCACTGAATGTCTTTGCTGGGCTGGATTAGTCCCAATGGGGAATAGTGGTATCTCCAGTATGAACACAAACTGTCTTGATTTATTTATGTGCTACCAAGTGTGGAATTTAACATATTAAGTATGTGATAGACAGTGATGGAATAGCAGGAATTAAACATAAACACCAATTCTATGCAGTGTTTTCTATTTGTCTGATAACTGCTTAGATATTGCATCCTTTTTTCTAAATAAATAAGGGATGCAAATCTAGTAAGTAGATGTTTTGACAGCTGATGTTAACACTGAAATTAACTGGGTCATTTGAGTGGAAACAACAAAATAGCTACATTTTTGTTCCAAATGTGTGTACCAAACTGCAGAGCTATTTGTCACTCATACCCTAGTATTATCTTATTTCAGTACAATAGGTTTTCAAGTATAGGAAGGAAGGAACAGAGAGCCAGAGAGGTGAAGCACTGAAATTAGGGTCATGTGAACAATAGAAATTTCTCAGTGTTCAAATGGGAACAAGGATTAAAAAGAAAGCAAGTAATATCATTCAACCAACCTTTTTTTCCACCTTGGAAATAACCCATGTAATTTTGTGGCTGACACAGTGCTGTGGGGAGACTCTTCTGGTTGCCTTTGTACTCACTGTGGAGCAGAGCTGGGGAATGCAGGAGTCTGAGAGCCACAATCCCAGAAGGACTGGATGGTAGATAGAATGGAAGTTGCTCTATTAGTAGACATTTATAAATATATTGCACGTTGGAAAATATCAACCGCTCACTGTGTTTCCTCCTAAACAAAAGAGACTTGATTTCGTTCACACCTTATGGCAGTATTTTTGTTTTTGGATGGTAAATATTCCTCAGGAGTAGGAGTCTGGTACACAGCAAAGTGTAAACTGTAGATCAGCTCCAGTTATTGGCATGCAGTACCTGCGAGAGGAGGCTCTGACAGCAGTGGCTGAAAACACCCCTCTCAAGTGCTGTGTGGCTTCTGGAGGAGCTGAGGGTGGCACTACCCGCCGTGCTGGGCAGCAAAGCCACACACCGTGTCTGATGCCACCAGACTTCTGCGTCTGTCACCTCACCTGCACAAGGGCTGGGGTTTGCAGGCTCTGGTACAAAGGCACAGAGTAATCAAAGCCTTCAGCCAGCACTGGAGGGTTGAACAGCGAGGCTGAACTCATGCGGGCTGGGCTGAGACGTAGCAGTGACCTTGTCTGGATCAGCAGGTGTTGGGGATAGGTAAGAATAGTTGTGATAATTCACATTTTAAAGTAAAGAAATATTTAGTAATCTAAAGTAGTCTTCCTTTCCACCCCACCATCTTTTGATTGTAAACTTAGTTACAGATTAGTTTTCATTTTGGAAATAACCTACTGCAGTGCAAAGGGGATTTTTTTTCCCATGCAATTCTTTGCCTTTAAAAAAGAAAGTGAGCAGGCACTCTAAACCAGTCTGTTCTCTACTTTTTATTAAACCTGGCTTCCCACCTCTGACTTGCTCTAGGCAACAGGCACGGAAAGGACGTGCTTTCAGAAATTGTAATTTTATTTCCCAGTTTGTCTCTTTACAGAATGCATTGAGTTTTGGTTTAACAAACATCAAAACATTTAGTGACTGGGTGTTGAGAAGGGCGCTGTGCTGCGTGTTTCCATAGTGCTCTAAATTGATCGATGGGCTGATTTAGGAAATACTTAGTAGGGCACTTTCAGCATGCTGTATCTATTAAAAAAAAAAAAAGAGGTTAACCAAGAGCACTCCTCCCCCTTCTAACATCCCTGGAGACAACTGCATTGTTGCCAAATCCCATAAATTTACATGTGATGAATTGTAACACTTGGACTATTTTTAAAGGTCCAGCCTCCAGGAATCTTATGAATATGTGATGATTTTTTTTTTTTCCTCTAGGTAAGCTTCTGGTTCTTTTAACTGTTGAAAAAATCTTTAGTTTCTGGCTGTGTAAATATTTTAAGGTAATGAGTAACACAAAGTTTATGTATTCCATAGTTTTTAAGACAGCATCTTTCAAAGTCCCATGATATGTTAATTTAATCCCATGATTTGGGAGGGGATTGTGAGTCATGATTTTTGAATGTTTCACTTTGGATAGATAGATACAAATTCCTTATAAATATTCCTATTTCTGGCACTCTTTTCACAAGAAATAGGACAAGATGTTCTCTCCCCAGTGAAACAGGAGGGGAAGGAATGGAAAGCTCAATGAACTTGGAGTTGGGTGGGTCAGTTGTCATTTCAAGGGCTTGGGTCTGCAGTGAGCAGTGGCCACACTGGACCTCACACAACACAAGGCTTTGGAGTTTTTTTGTTGAGTAGTTTGTTGAAGAACTTGCTACTCAACTCAACATGCATCTCCCACGGCTGCCCAGGCAGAGATCTCCAGCATGGAGCTGCAGGACAGCAGGAGGGAGGCCCCTGAAGCTGATGAACAGCTGAACTTCCCAGAAGACAACCAGGACTAATGGAAGATCCATTGACTGGTTGTGAGTGTAGATTCAGCAAAAAAAAATTTGTTTTTCAAAAAAAATTTCATTTTCCACACCATGGAAGTAAATTCTAATTATATCAGCAGATACGGTGAGGTGAACCTGACAGCAGGGTTATTCTAGCATTTTCCATACACTGCTATCTAATATTTTAATATTATAGCAAAAGAAATTGAGATTTTATTCCATCTGTTTAAAAAATATAAACAAACAAACCCCACGACCTCCTAAACCCTGGTGGGATCAAGGCATGCATCCAGTTTTGTGAAGGCTCTGCTGACGTGCTGGGTTTTGAGCAGTGGAATGTCCTGGGAAGGATCTGCCGTGAAAGGAGTGGCAGAGCTCTGCTCTGATTTCAGACTGTGCCAGGTTTGCTTCTGCATTTACATAAAACTCTATCAGAATATTGGGAAACGTAAATAGTTGTTTTGGCAGCCTGAATAACTTGTTTTGACTGGTGTGGGATTATCTGGTGTTGGCGAGAATGAGAGAGTATGGGGTGTAATATTTCTACCTCCTCTTCCCCTCTCAAACAATACCATTTGTCAAAGTACTGGAAAAATGTAAGCATCACGTTTTAGGCAAGTAATAATCTTCAGCAGAGTATTACTGTGTGGGTCTGTGTGAGGTCACTACAAATTAGGCTAATTGTTTCAGAAAGAGAAATATTTTCATGTAGTGGCTGATGTATTGCAGGTATGGCGAGAATAAATCCTATTTTTTCTGGCAACTGCTCTTACTGCTTGCATGCATATAATAATTTATCTTCCTCTAGATAAAAACAAGCAGCATGTTGAAAATATTTTAATATTTCCTGTTGAATTCCTTCTTACAAACATGAAAAATGTTGCTTGATAGCAGTAAAACTAGCTACATGATAGAACTAGGATTAAATAGATGAGCTAGACTAGGTTGTTTTTTTCTTAAATGTTCTTTGGATGTTGAGTGAAGAGATGGTAAGTATTTAATTGATGATTATGATGAGGTCTGGAAGCCAGTTTGATTGTTTTGTCTCGAAAGACAACCTGATTATCAGGCTTGTAAGCTTTAATATCACATTTCCCCAGCTAAATTACTGTGCCTGTTATGTTGATCAACTGAGAGGAAATGATTATACTAAAACTTCCTTAAGGTTGATCTTTTCTCTCAAAATCATTGTTTAAATATGGTGCTCTGAGTTTTATTGTATTACTTGATTGATGAGAAACAGAAACTCAGCTTTAGTGACAGTTTTATTTACTGTGCAGATGAAAGATGACCTTAGCCAAGAACAGTTTATTACCGAGGAAGACAGCGAGGTAACTCCCAAAATGTGCTTAAACCAGGAAGTTGTTGTTTCTGCAAGTGCCAATTAAATCCCTTGGAATGGCCAAACCCAATCTGACACAAGTCCTGTCATGAATAGGCTGTGGGCTGACAGGGTGGACAGACAGACTCACAACCTCTGCTGGAGACTTGTGACCTCTTCCCATGGCAATACATGCCATTGCTGGTGGTCAGACCTGCAGAGGGAAAGTGGCTTGGTGCTGAATGATGTGATCGTTTTATGTGACCCTGTGATGCACTTTTTGGGGCAAAACCCATCATTTTGAGTTGTGGGGTTTTTTTTTTTGTTTGGTTTGGTTTTGGTTTGTTTTTTGTTTGTTTGTTTGTTTTGGTTTAAATTCTATTACTGTTTCCTTTTTTGATGTTGAGGGTGCTAACATCCCCCTGGCCATAAGAATATACCAGTCAGGTAAAAGGACAGAAATAAGTTGCTCCTTCTACTCAGCAGTGGTGACCAACTCCTTTCTGACAGACACTCAAACCTCACTGGGGCAGAGCTGGTCCTCAGTCCTGTCATTGGCATCTCCTGCCCCTCCATGAAGCAAAAGGGTAAAAGTCTCTCCTTCTCATGCTACTGGGACATTCAGGAGTCCTGAGGGGTTAGGGCCAGTTCAGCAGGAGAGAAATCCAAGCAAATTTAAGCTGAAACAACCCAACCCTCTAAGTTTTTTGAAAAGATGAAAGTTAAAAATATGATAAAGTTGTAACAACTCAGTTGCCAGAGCTTTGCAGGTTTTGGAGATGATATTTCAGAGGAAGACTCCTCCAT